AAGCTGGAAAGAGAAATGATTTTTGTTAACTGAAATTTTTTTTAAAATATAACATAGAATCATAGATTTAGAGCAGGGAGGGACCTTAGGTAGCATCTAATGCAGGCCTGCACAACATATGGCCCGTGGGACACTTGCACCCCGACAAAAGATTTTAGGAGACCTGCAAAAAATGTAGGGTTGCCCCTATGCACTCTCCTGTTTGTATGTGACCTGCGGCAATCAACCATCATCAGTTTGTCTCTAGTCTAACCTATCTGAGGCCCAAAGAAGTTTAGCCTATTTTATTTTTGGCCCCTACCTACTGCCAAGTCATGCAGGTCTGATCTAGTCCAACCACCACATTTTATAGATGAAGAAACTGGATTCTAAACAGGTCAAGTGACTTGCCTAAGGTCATACAGGCCTTAGACGATTAGAATTAGATGAGAATTCAGGCCCTCTAACTCCAAAATGAACATGCCTATAAGGAAGAGAATTAAATAAAAGATATGCAGAAAATAAAGAGCAGAGGAGGAGGAGGAAGAGGAGGAGGAGGGAGGAATAGAGAAGCCAGGAAAAGCCTCAAGCAAAAGGTAACACTTGATCTAAGCCTTGAATAGAATTTAGGATTCCCAGAGCTGGAGGACAAGCATTCTTGGCACAGGAAATGGTCTATATTCCACTCATTCTGCCTGTACCTCGAGTTAGCCTGGAACATCATGATTCCTTGCTGTGATGTGAGTCTGTCCCCACCCACAGAAACTTCAGCCCTTGGGAACTGTGTGCTTGTTGTTAATTTCCTTAAGGGAAAAAGCCCTTGGCTGTCTGAAACCCAGAGGGTGCATTATGATCAGATTCTACGGGGCAAGGTTCCAAGGACAATCTGGGCTGCACTGTGCTCCCCTACCAAGCTGTAAGACACCTACAGAGGTGAGTACTAATAAGAGCTCATACTTCTATAGTGCTTTATGGTTACAGGGTACATAACATGAAATATTTCAATTAATCCTCTCAACAACCCAGTGAAATGAATCCTTCCATTTTACAGATGGGGAAAACAAGTCTCCAAGCAGTTAAAGAGATCTGCCAAGAAGATCCCATAGCAAGAAAAGGTCAGCCCTGGTACTGGAGCCCAGATTTTCTGACTACAAGACCATCCCTCTTTCCATTATAGCTTTCTGTAGGTGAATTCATGGATCTGACCACAAGGAATAAGTTAGAATATCCAACTGGAAGATTAGCTAAAAAGTCTCTTTGATGGAAAATTCCTTCAGATGCTCGTCTGCAAAATTCTTCAAAACTTGTGACAGTTCTTAGTTATTGATCCTCATAAGCTCAACCCCTGGGACCTCCTGGGATTAGACAGCCTGTGTAGTCGAAATAGTACTGAAGTAGGAATCAAAATGCCTGGGAGTTCTGGTCCCATTTACCAGCTATGTGACCTTTTGCCATGATACTCACCCAGGCTGAGCCTGTTTATCCATCCATCAAGTCAGGGCAGTAGTACCTATTAACTCTTTACATAAATCAAGGGTGGGTTAGAGGGAATTTCCTTACTGAGATTTCCTTTGAACAAAGGAATCAAGGTCTGGTTAAAAAAAAAAAAAGGTACTTACTGTAATGGTCAAGAAAGGTGATATGGAAAACTATAAAGTGCCAATCCACTGTAAAGTATTATAAGTCAATTTAGTTCAATGAATATTTGTTAATTTGTCCACATTTTTAATTATGTGACCAAGAAATCTTAAAGCACAATCAACGTGCTAGTTATTAACTATTAAAAGAATAAAGACATGAAAAATGACAGTCTCTTCCCTCAGGGAGCTTACAGTCTACTGGGGAAGGGGGAAATATAGCACATACATAAATAAATATGATTAAAGGAAAAATGCTATAGGAACAAGCTTTTATTATTACTGAAACAAAATGTAAGTTTCTTCAGGGTAGAGACTGTTTGGCTCTTGTTGAGGTTAAGATATTTGTCCACAGTTACATAGCCTTTATGTGCCAGACGTAGGACCTCAAGCTCAATTCTTCCTGCCCCTAAGGCCAGCCTGCTCTCTACTCTGCTGCCGTTTCTGTGAAAAGTTTAACTGGATAAACAATTATGTGGCATGGTGGATCGAGGGCTGACCTTGAAGTCAGAAAGACCTGAGTTCCAATCTCATCTCAGATACTTACTATTGGTGTGACTGTGGGCAAGTCACTTATTCTCTCTCAGCCTCAGTTTCCTCATCTGTAAAATGGGTACAATAATAGCACCTGCCTCCCAGGGTCACTGTGAGGATTAAATGAGATAATATATGTAAAGCATTTTAAAGTACTTACAGAAATGCTAGTGATTATCATTGTTGCTGTTGTCCTTAGGTTAGAATGGGGATTATCCTTATCCTTAGTAATAATTTTAGGTAGCTAGTTGTCCATAATATCATAACATGTTGGGTACAGTAAAAATTGAACTACTTTTTTTGTTTTTGCTAGGCAATGGGGTTAAGTGACTTGCCCAGGGTCACACAGCTAGTATCAAGTGTCTGGTCTGAGATCGAATTTGAACTCAGGTCCTCCTGACTCCAGGGCTGGTGCTCTATTCGCTGCGCCACCTAGCTTCCCCTAAAAATTGAACTATTCAGAACCCAGCCTGCTGAAATAGTTACTCTCCTGGAAGTGTGGGGAGGTAGGGAAGAGAGGAGGAGGGGGGAGGAAGAGGTGGGGAAGAGGAGAAAGAGGGGGAGGGGAGGAGGAGGAGGAACATCCTTTTTGGCAACAAATCAATAGCCCCTGAACGCCTAGGAAGAAGGGAACACATGAGAAAGTCAGACCCAAAGTTTACTTTGTGTGCTCTATAAATGGTGGAAGGGAAGGAGAGCTCTGACAGACCAACATGCCAGCAGGCCAATGACCCCCACCCCACTCCAAAACCACCAAACCAAAACAAAGCAGTAACAATGGCGGTGTGTGAAGGGCAGACTCTAAGCCTCACAGGGCTTCCTTGGGAGATAAGGGATTCCCCCAAATGGTCTTCAAGCAGAGGATGAACGATCTGGAACTCTGAGGAGGTATGGATTGATTGTTCAGATATGGGTTGGCCTGGAGGGCTTCTGAAGCCTTTTTCCAACTCTGAGATTCTGTACTATTTTTATAAGACCCTGTAAGGATAGAGCACAGAGGCTGTTTGGTGGGCATCTCCTGCCTCTGTCTGGGCCACTGGTCTCACACAGACTGCTCCCCTTTTCTTTTCCCTCTGTTTTCTCTTTCCTATTTCCTGCCTAATTCAGGTCTCACCTCCTGCTGCATTCTGGTGTTATGAATGCTCCATCCTGAGAGCTGGGATTTCAAGAATCTCACATACTACCAACATCTGGATAATCACATACCCTGTGCTCCTTGGAATTTATACAAAATTCTGTAATCACTAGTCTGGGAAAAAGTTACCCAACACCTCTAGAACACTAGTCACATGACCACTTACAGAGCCCATCTGTTGGGCTCAGAGGACTCCCCTTCCGATAGCCTCTGAATAAAGGAGAGGGACCCTGGGAAATGGGAGGCAGCATGGTGTCCTACATAGAGCACTGGACTTGGGAGTCACAAAGACAGTTTGGCCAGCTGGTCACCCACTCCCAGAAAGGTAGAAATTTTTATTTATCCTGGTTGCTAGTTAAAGTCAGCAGGGCCCTTCACCTGAAAAGATGCATCCAGGGACCCAAAGGGCAAATCTCTATTAAGGAGACTGCCAGACCCAGCTGCGTTGGCTCTCATCAGGCCTTTAGACACCAGACGTGGCCATCGACATCCTTCCTCTCTCTCCTCCCCCTTGTGACTTGTGGCTTCCCAGACCCAGCAGGATGACAAATGTAATCATTTTAAAAGGTCCCATCACCTGCTCAGTCATTCCCAATAAGCCCACACAGCATTATGGAAAGACTGACATCCGAGTCATGAGGCCTCAGCCAGAAGAAAAAAAGATCAAATCACTGGGATGCAACCAACAGAATTGTCAAAGACCAAATAAAAAGCTTCATGAATTCTCCATCAGCAATATAATGCTTCTTGGCCTAAGCAAATATAGACCCAGCATATGAATTGTGATAGGATTGCATTAGCCTCAACAACTTCCAACAGCTGGAGCAGAACCCTTAAGAAATACATGTTTCTATAAAGCTGCCTTTATTGGTTCTAATCCTGCTAGGGTGAAGGCTGCAATCTCTTTCTCTGAAAGCCCCCTTCCTCTGGTGGAAGGTTTCACATTCAAGAGGCATGAATACATTTCTCTGCCCTCAGATGAAGCAGAGAAAAGAAGATCCAACCTAGATAGATGAGGAGCTCCATGTGCACCATACCCTCCACCCCAAGTCTGACTAAGGCTAGTCCTCCCGTGGTGTCTGACTACACGATCTGTTTGGATCATGGCAAAACACCCAGGTGTCCTGTGCAGCTTAGCCACACGTGAACAGAGAAAACAGGGTCATTCATTCTTTGGGAGAGGGTGGGGCCCAAGTTCAGAATCACAGAGAGAAAGTCTGCCCAGAGCCATCTAGCTCCTGAAAGTCCACTGAGGAGAAATAGGTACAGTACAAGCAAAGCAAGACAAACAACCTTCCAATACGCTGGGAAAAAAATCCTACACAGGAGGAATCCACGGAGCAAAGTCTGTCTTCTGTTAACTAGAGCAACACAAAAGTACACCCTCCCCACGGCAAATCACTGACGCTCCTCACTTCCTGCCAGAGGTACACGCCTTCAAGGACCTAACAGAGGCTACTCATCTAAAAATAAAATGGTCAATTTGGCCTACAAACTTTGGAAAGTATATTTCAGGCTCCAGCCACCAACATTTGATCACCCCTTTCCTTCATTCCATCCCCTCAGAAGCCAGGACTCCCATATGCTTTGGTCTTCTGAGTTAGGAGTTTCCTCTTGGTTCCTGGGGAGCTTGGGTGAGATCTCATATCCTCATTCCCCCACTCCAAGCCCGCATGGATCAACTTTCACCCCCACACGTTGTGAGCATTACTTACCCCAACGTAGTCATGGTGACGATGGTATACCAAAAGGAGGCCGGGATGCTTGTGAATTTGCTGGCAGAAGAGCCCTTCTCGGCATAAAACATCACAGTGGCAAAGATAATGATGGCCATGGTGAGAGAGAAGAGGAGGAAGCCCAGCTCCGATGCGCAACTTTTAAGAGTGTAACCCAGGATTCGCAAGCCCTGGGAATGCCGGGAGAACTTGAAAATTCTGAAGACTCGGAAGACCCGGAGTGTGACAAAGGCGCCAGACACATCTTCGTTGTTGGTCATCACCAGGCCAATGTAGTATGGCATGATGGCCACCACGTCAATGATACTCATCACACTCCTGATAAAGCGGTAGCGGCTGGGGGCTGCAAAGAGCCGGAGCAGGTACTCAACAGTAAAGATCATGACGCAGGCCGTGTCCAGGCAGAAGAAAGCCACCGCGTAACGCTCACCACACGGCAGCTCCTTGTTCCCAGGCACCGTGCCACAGGGCACTGTCTCCACTACATTCGTGATGACGGAAACGGCGATGAAGAAGCCAGTCACATAGTAGAAGACCAAGGCCAGCGTGCTTGTGTGCGGATTCTCAAATGCCCGCCACATGGTCTGACGGAAACTGAGCGATGGGAGGGATTCTTGGTTGTTCTCAGAGTCATTGTCATCCATCAGCCGCTCGGCATTCTCCCGCTTGCGATCTTTGTACTCTTCATAACAACAGTCCCCAATGATCTCTGGAAGGATGCCATAGAAAGCCAGCTCATCATCGTAAGCGGAGATGCACTCGTACCGGGGATAATGCAGCTTCCCTGTGCGGTAGAAGTTAAGGACACAGCGAAATACCTCAGGGTCTCGGTCAAAGAAATACTCCTTGGTGTCCTCATTGAAAAAGAATTCCTTCTCTGTGCTGCCAAGGAGGGTGTCGGGGTAGCGCTCCAGCGTGGTCCGCCATGTCTGGAACCTGCGCCCGCTCACGTTGAGGATGATCAGCTCATCTTGCCTCTTGTTCTTGTCAGCTGGAGCCAGGGGCATGGGGCAGTTGGCCACGGGCATCCAGCCAATGGCTGCTGCCCTGGCAAAGGGCAGCCAAGCTGCGACTCCAGCAGCCATGGTGACGCCAGCTCTCAGGACAAGTTACCGTGTCTTGGAAAAGTCACACACCAGGTTGGAGTTAGCTCAGCAACCCCTGAGGGTGAGAGCAGAGAAAGGGGGTGAGTCAGAATGGAGAGAAGTGAAAGGTAAGAGACTGAGGACAGGGGTAAGCCACTAGTTAGCCCCCCCCAAAATGAGGGAGAGACTTTATATAAAGGCAAACCCAGTGGACTACAAGAAAAACAACAACAGCAACAAAGGACAGGGCTACATTGCTCTTTCCCTTTCCATTCCTTAGCCCATATGCAGGGCAGCTAGCATAGGTGTGTACCTGACAGGTGCTGGTGACTCACTGACAAATTGTCAAGTTCCAAGAGAGCTCAGATGCATTTGGAAGGGAAGCGTCCTCAACAGAAAGATCTGAGAAGACGCAGTCTATAATCAGCTCCGAAAGGTTATGGCCCGATTGCAAATTTAAATTGGGAATGGGTAAATGATTTCTCATTAAAAGAATTTAAAAGTGGGATAAACATGCTAATTTTTATTTCTTCACTAACCAAAGCAATTAGGAAGTTGGGGGGCAGGATGCAAAGAAGGAACAGGAATAAACATATTCCTTCTGCTTGTTTCCCCAGCCAATAAGGTGAGATGCCCAAATTAGATCAAATAACTCCTAGGATACCAGCTCATTGTGCAAAATGTCCAGGAGCTAAGCCCACTGCTGTTTTGACCTATCTATGCCTTCACCTCCATCTCACAAGTCAGGGAATGAATGACTCCTCTTCCTCCCCCTTCAGGGCCAAACCTGCAAATGTGACATAGTATAATATGTATAATATTAACAGTATAATGATCAATGCTTGTTGATTGAGATACCTGGGGTTCTCAAACTTTTTTGAGCATGAAAATCCCTTTTTAATGTAAAAAAATGTCAAATACTCCCTCTCTCCCTATAGTACTTGCATTATTAGTGTCTATTGATTGTGGAAGTACATAGTGATAAAATGGAGTATGTATGGACTTGTTCACTCAGTACAATAACTCTGTCCCCATCACCCTCCAAGGGGTCCATGGCCCAAGGGTTAGGAACCACTGTCCTCCAGGAAAGACTCAGGATAGGAGAGTGAAAACATGAAAACCTATAGGACTTTGGTCCTTAGCTTGTCTGTATTCTGTAATTCTTAGTCCCCTTAGGGAAGGCTGTCTTGCAATCAGAGTGACCTCCAGATTCTTGGCCTCCCTGGCCCATTTCTAATATGGTCTCTGCCTCTCCAGTGCATCCTTGGCAAGTTGTATAACCATCCACGACTCAACCCCAACCTCTCCTGATTCCACACACAGATACTCTTATCAAAACTTTGATTATCCCTTCCACTGACTCACTGGTCCTTCAGCTATCATGTTCAGACATCAGTTCTTTGACCTTTTGTGTGGATGTCCTACTCACACATGTTCATTCTAAGTGCATACCTCCATGTGGATGCACTGGCCACACACATCTCTCACATGTATATGCCTCACATATGCAGGCCCATTCTTTCCACTGAACGGGAATTTGTGGGAAAGTGAGCTCAGGGTTTAATGCGGGAAGTGTTCTATGTTACTGTTACTGCATTGCTATTTAATTTTGCAATATGGGTTTCAAGGTGGACTGGAAATAGACACAAAATATATGCATATCCTCTGCCTAAAACTATCTCAGAATCAAATGCCTTTGTTGTATAGGGAGGAAAAAGTCAACTTTCCCTTATTTGTGATAAGGGGTAGATGCAGGAGCTCAGACAACCCAAAAGAGTGGATCATACAAAAATTAAAGCTATTTGGCTTTGGAATGCTTTATCATCTCAACCCTACCCTTTCACCCGAAAAGTCTAAGTGCATTGCCCAGATCACACAACTACTGAGTGCTAGGAATTCAAACTAGGTAAAAAAGCATATTTACTTTCCTAATTATTTAGGTGATGATGATAACCAACCATTCATGTTGACACAGCACATTAAGGTTAACAAAGTATTTTCCTCACAAAAAAACAAAAACAAACAAAAATAAACCAAACCAAAAATAAACCCTGTGAAGTACCAAAAGCAAATATGATTATCCTGGAATTGCAGAATCTTGATGGGAAAGAACTAGAGGTAATAATAATAATAATCTTTACATAGCACTTTAAGGGTTACAAAGTACTTTATCATGTTTATCCACACAATCTTCCCGTAAAGTAGATGATATTATTATCCTCATTTTACACTTGGGGAAACTGAGGCTGAGAGAGTTTAAGTGATTTGCCCAGGGTCACATAGGTAGTAAGTGTCTGAGGCAGGATTTAAACTCTGGTCTTCCTGACTCAAGGCCCAGCACTCTATCCATTGTGCTATCTATCTGTAAGAATCCTCTCTACCATATCCTTGAAAAAAGTATTGTTGTTCAGCCGTTTCAGTTGTGTCTGACTCCTCATGACTCTATTTGGGATTTTCTTGGCCAAGATGCTGGGGTGGTTTGCCATTTCCTTCTCTAGTTCATTTTACAGATGAGGAAAATGAGGCAAATAGGGGTAAATGACTTGCCCAGGGTCACACAGCTAGTAAGTGTCTGAGATCAAATTTGAACTCAGGTCTTCCTGACTCTAGACCTGACACTCTACCCACCATTACATCTACCCATCCATCCTTGACAAGTACCCATTCAGCATCTAGTTGGAGCTCTTCAGAGACTGGGCATCCACAAGTTCCCAAAGCAACTTGCTCTACTTTTGAATAGTTAGAACTCTTAAAAAGTTTTTCCTTACATTGAACCAAAATCCATTTCTGTACAATTTCCGCCCATTGTTCCTGATTCTGTCATTTAGGGCCAAACAGAGCAAATCAAATCCCTTGTTTTAGTTAATTAAATTAATTCTTTTTAGAAAAAATGTAATCTAAAAAAGTAATAATAAATAAATATAAAAATGTAATATAAATAAAAAATTTAAGATAAAAATGTAATTTTTATTTCTGCCCTTTATTTTTATATTATGCATTATATTATATATTCTAACATAATTATAATATTATATGAATAATATGATATTAATATTTTCTATCATGTAATTTCCAAATATTTCTGTACCCAGTAACTACCTAGTAAACCATCTCGGCAGATGGGCTAAATTAGGTTGAGGCCTGAAATCCATCAGTGAATCAGGGAGATATCTCTCCCAAGTATGTGAAGCCTTCCCCTGGCAGAATAAGTAGATGAGAACAATTTGTTCCAATGGCCATGAAGGTAGCTGAAGCAGGAGCTATGGAGTGCTTAGAGTTTTAAACAGGCATTGAAGATGCAAGATTCTATATATAGTATCTAAGTGACTTGTTCAGAGTCACACTGGTGAAAAAGATGAGATTCAAATTCAAGTCTTCTGAGTCTCAGACCAGTGATTTTGACATCATTTCAACTTTTGATATTCAAATAATTCTGCATTCTCTGAGAAAATACCAAAAAACGATCTAAGGATGAGGGAAAAATTACATTTTTATTTTCACCAACCTCTTGCAGGGTTCTTCACCTTTTTTTTGTGTATCATGGACCCCTCTGAAAGTCTGGGGAAGCCCAAGAATCTCTTCTTAGAGTAAAATTTTCAAATGAGTAAAATAAAATGCATAGGACCACAAAGGAAATCAATTATATTGAAATACAGTTATCAAACTATTTAAAAGATGTTAATGGTCTCAACTTAAGAACCCCTGATCTAAAGATACAAGCTCCATATGTGTTCAAGGTGTAATATAGTGGCCAAGCAAGCTAATGTCATCTTAGGCAAAGCTTTCCAGGAACAGAATGGAGGTGATTTTATTGTACTGTGACCTGGTCAGACCACATATGGAGTACTGAGTTCAGTTCTGGATCCCACATTTTAGGAAGGACATTGATAAGCTGAAAAGTGACCAGGATGGTAAAAGGCCTTGAGTTCATGGTCTATGAAGATCGATTGAATGGATTAAGGTATTTTTGTCTGAAGAAAATAGAGTGTGGGATGGGGAAGGATTGAGGGGAATATGGCAGCTGTCTTCAAATAGCTGAAGGGCTTTCGTGTGGAAGAATGAATAGATTTGTTCTGTTTGGTCCCAGGGGTAACTCTTCAATAAGTGGGTAAGAGTTGCAAAGAGGCAAAAAGGGTTGGTTTAAATTTCCTCACAGCTGAGGCGTCCCAAAGTAGAATGGACCAACTTGAAGCGAAAGTTGGACGAGACGTATGTGATCTAAGGGATTCTTTTGGCAGGTATGGTTTGGAGTGCATGGCTGCTAAGGTCCCTTCCGACACTGAAATTCTGCAATTTGGAAAATATTTAGGGTATCTTCATTTGAAACAACGACTTCAGATAATCCTCAAATAACCGAACAGGCCAAATCCCATCATGACAAATTCCAAGGGACTATCTACATTCTTCTCTCTACTGGAGTTTTGCTGTATTAAATATCCCTTTAAAGAGATATTGTCGCTATGATGGAAGGAGCCCTGGCTTGGAGTCAGAAGAACCTGGAACAAGTCCCAGACCCAATGCTTACTAGCCATGTGACCACTGGGCAAGTCACTTATGCCTCTGAGTCTATAAAATGAGGATAATAAGACTTGAACTAACCACCCCACAGGTTATTGTGAGAAAATTACTTTGTAAACAGCAAAGCTCTCTATAAATATCAGTTATTACTATAAGTAGGACATTGGTAAGGACTTAGAAATCTTTTTGTTATGGAGATTTGTTCTGTATTACAGCCCTTTAATCCTTCCCTTGTGAATCAGCCTCTTTTTAATCTCTCAGGCGCAACCCAACTCCAACATTGCATTCAGTTGATCAGCATCTCATCAAAGTTTTCTTTATCTGGTATCCCCTCAGGACCTGGGCACCCACATTTCTATCGGACCTTAACATTTACAAAACACTTTGTTCACAACCAGCCTATGAGACAGATGGTGCAAGTGTTGTTATCTCTTTTTTACAGCTGAGGAAACTGAGGCTCAGGGAGAAGTAATATGCATAGTTAGATCTTGGATATGAATCCAGGGCTCCTGACTGCAAGGCTAGGCTTCTTCCCACCACACCATGCTGCCTTGCATC